GCGGGAAGCCTGCTTCTCCCTCTCCCACTCCCCCTGCTTGTGTTCCTGGCTCTCGCTATCTCTGTCAAATAAATAAATAAAATCTTAAAAAAAAAAAAAAGGCCACTTGGGGAACAGGCCAGTAATAGAAAAATGTCTGTCATGTAAAACTTAACCATTTACCTGTCTAAAAAATAACCTTCAAACCTTAAATCTTTATGTTGGATTGTTATATGGATATACGTTATCATAGCAAGAAACAAATTTGCTATGGGCTATAAGTTTGGCAATCTGGCTAATGTTTAAAAATGTGCTCATGAAGCGGTAACATTATTTTTATTAAAATAATGCTAATGATGCCAAATGAAATCTCTTTCCACATGAAACATGTCAGGTTGCTTCCAAGTCACCCCCACCCCAGCAGAACAAAAACAAAACAAATCAGTCTGAGACTCACTTGAGTGTTTAATTCAAACCTATATTTGTAGTTTCTAAAATGCTGATCCACAGACCACTTTCTTGTTACACGTGTGTACCAATGAAAACAAAAGCAGAGGATCACTGCCGTCCCTGCAAAAGGAACGGCTCCTTTTCTAATATTCTTTAAAAATATACAATGTACGGTCCTTGTGCCCCAGGACGGGCAGTGACTGACGTAATAAATACACTGGCCTGCCCGCTCTCCTCCCTGCTGCGCGAGCTCCGCCAACTACCTGTTATAAGCCCGCTCCTTTTTGGATTTCTCCAGGGCCTTGTCCATGGTCTTCTCGTTCTCCCCTCGACATTTGGGACAGTACCACTTGCCCTTTGGTTTGTGATTCAGCCCCACGCAGGAGAAATGGAACCACTCGATGGGGCACTCGTCATTGTCACAGCCGATCATTTCTCCATAGGAGACCTGATTGCACAGACAGTATGTTGGCTCGTTCGGGTCGATGGGAAGGTCTGCAGGGGACGCTTCCCGCTCAGCTTTGGCCTTGGAGCGTTTCTTCTTCTTGGAGGCTTTTGCTTTCTTCTCCTTAGGCGTTCCTGAGGTGATGTCATCATGGTCATGATTATTGGCAGCGTTCTCTCGGTTCTCATTGTTGCGCTGTCGCCGGGACCTCTTGTTATTGGTCTTCTCCGCCTGCGTGATTGTCTCGCTCTTGGACTTATCCTGGCCGGCTTTGCCGCTGTGGCCAGTGGTGTCATTGACCTCCTGATGGGCCTCAAAGAGCTCCACGTGACTGTCCACCTGCCTGGTTCGGTTCTCCACCAGCTCCACCATCTGACTCACGATCTGGATCTTCTCGTCGCCCAGCTCCTGGCTCCGAATCAGGGCTCTCTGAATGCAATGCAACACTCTCCTCTTCTGGACGCCGTCTGTCTCGCGTTTCAATTTCTCATAATACTCATCCAGTTCCTTCAGGATTTCTGCAAAGGAAAAATAAGCATTATGTCCATTCTATAAACACAACTGAGCCCTTTATTTAAATTCTCTGGCCTATAAAAAAGTAATTGCAAAGGACAGAAAAAATCAAGGCAAGATTTCCTAGTATGAAAATCCTATAACCTACAGGCATTTTGAGCAGACCTTTTCTCCCCCTATTGAAAAAAATCCCTGGAACTAAATACAAATGCAACACAATCCCCATTTAGCAAAGTGCCACTCAAAGCTCCCCAAGGGACTCTGCATTCAGAAGCATGGGTAACATTACTCTTGGGATCAGCAACTAAGGGCGAAAGTTTAAATTTAGGTGAAGTGCTGATGCCCAACTTCTACTTTCTATAAAATTAATTGATTTATGTCCTGTATTTCCAGTTTTCACTCAAATATTCTTCTAACTTAAATGCCTTTATTCCCTTTATTTTAATGCATCAATGTCTAGAATACCCTATTAAATCAGAGAATGTATATAAATACTACCTAGTGACCCAGGGCCTCAGTTTATCAGTCACATCGCTGTCATCCAACCTTGCTATTCCTCTGTATTACTAAAAACAAGACTGGTTTGTCACAATAAGTCAGACAACCTAGCTTTGCCTTAAAACAAAGGGGTCAGATTTTGCTTTTGCATTTACTGCTTAAGACAATACACATTCACATCTGTAAAAATCAACAGATTTTAAAACATTACCAAAACTAAAAAAACCCTCAGTACTAAATTTAAACTTTGTACAGGGGGTGCCTGGCTGGCTCAGTCGGTAGAGCATGGGACTCTTGATCTTGGGGTTGGGAGTTCAAGCCCTACACCGGGTGTAGAGATTACTTAAAAATAAAATCTTAAAAAAGTGTATATGATTTTAAGATGTAATTTGGAAAGTGTAATTAGGCAATTTCTCAAGATATAAAAGTTGTTAAATAATCTTGATTGAAATAAGGAAAATAAATATTCTTGCCAAAAACCTATTTAAGGGTCCTGGGAAGGAGCCCCTGCATCAGGCTCCCGGCTCAGCGGGAAGCCTGCTTCTCCCTCTCCCACTCCCCCTGCTTGTGTTCCCTCTCTCGCTGTCTTTCTCTCTGTCAAATAAATAAATTAAATCTTAAAAAAAACCACAAACCTTTTTAAATACAAACAGAAAGGTTGCCTGGGTGGCTCAGTTGGTTGGGCGACTGCCTTCGGCTCAGGTCATGATCCTGGAGTCCCAGGATCGAGTCCCGCATCGGGCTCCCTGCTCAGCAGGGA